AATCACAGATCTCCTTTGACACATATTTTATGTATTTTTTCTTAAAATAAACAATGATTGTAAATAGCACCTTTGGACATGCTACTGTATGTATAATAGCGACCAGACTGTATGTAAATAGCGATTGCGGCTTTATATTACTGTATGGTTTATTGCATATTTACATTTTGCCTGTTGGTGGAATAAACGTTTTTCTCACACAGATGGATTATTTCGAGTGCAGTTACTGCAAAAACAGCTTTATAGAGTTTAGTAAAATAATTGAACATTGCATGCAAGAACACCGGAACTTAGGAAGAACGGTTACACAAACATTTTTTTTTCTAGTTCCAGAAGAGATAAGTCTCCTATGTAAATGTATCATACCAAACGATGAAAACTGCAGCGTGAGGGTACAAATAATTCATCCACATTTATGTTCCCCGTTTAGAAAAATATCAAAAACGTTATGAACCCAACAGGGACCTGATAATTTGTTACAGCTATATCTAGACCTAAACTAAGGTTTTCAGAGTAATTCTATATGTTTTAGGGGTTTAGATCGACTTTCGGTAAATATGCCGTTCGAACCCTAATCTGGCCGTTACATTTTCTCGTTCTCCTGTCGCAAAATTTGCAATCTTGCCAACTCTTGTTTCAAGCAGTATGAGTACGCTTTGCAAAGGAATACCTGAAACTGGGTTGTAAATAGTTGTGTTTTTCGGGGGCATGGACTTTGAGGAGGAAAGGGGAATGCAGTGAAACTGGACTGGATCGATCGTCGGCGACCATATAGCTCAATTGGTAGAGCATCCGTCTAGAGTTCGGCGGGTTCCGGGTTCAAGTACCTGTCTGACTGTTACATTTCCTCTTTTGTTTTACCCATGGAAGGTGGTATAGGGTTTGGTGTGTCTTCGGGGTTGAAGACTTTGAGATGTTAGAAAGACAATCATCAACTTTCTAGTGATGCTAACTTTCTGTAAACAGAATTGCTACGTTTTTGACGGTCAAGCGTGTAAAACACTGACAGCTTCAAATGATACACATAATAGCCAAGCCAAACACTTACTATCATATTGTTGTACTATAGGAATTCAATGAAATATCAATTTGAGCCGGACGGGTTCGGCCCATGCAACACTTAAAAAGTCGTAAAATTGACGGGAAAATGTGACGTTACATGTTTTATGACAATGTAATTAAGCTGATTTCAAGGGGGCCTAACTTACCCGAATGCCTGTCCGAACTTACTCCATGGCGGGGCTCGTTCGGCCATCCGATCTTCTGACAGGAAAAGTTAGATAATTCTTCAAAAACGGAGGTGATGCCTTACTTCCCAGAACGGACTTAAATAAAAGGGGCCGAATTTGCCCAGGTCTTCCCCTTATTGTTATGTCGGTCTTAAAATCTCACTAAGCTAGTGTTATTATCTTATTCTGAAAGCAGTATTATCTCATTCTGAATCTGTAAATATCAGATATCAACAAAAGCAACGTTCTTTTTAGGCTTTGCCTTTTCATATTACGATAGAAAGTTGAAAAAGTCACAGCTATACATGCTACACGTACATGTGGACGGTCCTTTATGTAATCATAGAATATGGTTGTACGTGTACTGTAGCTCACACGTACCCGTAAGGTTGCAAAAACTCTCCAATAACAATCGGAAGCGACTTATTACCATGTAATACTTATACAAGGAAATCGCAAGTAATCGACAGTATAATCACTAGTAATCATAGTCAATGTTATCATAACAAGCAAGTAACCATACAGTAGTCGTCGATTAAGAGACGCGGTTGATCAAACTTCAGACATTAACTTAACAGGAATTTGCTTTGATTGCCTCCTCATACACTCTTTTTTCATCATCGTCTCTGAATTCAATCAAAAATTTATCAGATTTATTATCAGAATTGTAGAAATTAGATCGACTCGGATGACAGCGCTTGTGGTTTTTGATCGATTATGTAAGATTAAGAAGTGATTATCAATATATATTACAGTTTATTGGGTTGAAAAGTTGCAAAAATAACTGGCCCATCCGTTTTGACAATTATACAACATGGGTAGTGATTAAAATAAACCAAATTTACGTTCGACCACAGTGTTTTTGAATCAACAATATAAAGTTGTCGATGTTTTTGACGAATCAGGTTTCGCAATAAAATATTTGCAGTTTGAAAATCGCGGGCTTCGAAATTTGCCACATTCTGATTGGTTGAAGAAGACCGGAACAGACAATTTAACCGGGAAGTCTGCAATACCGAACGCGAGAGGATATATCCGATATCAAATGTTCAACAAGAGTTTGGAGTGAATTTTACCAGTTTTGACCTCGTCACAGACAAATTTCATGTTTGATTCAAAGGTCTACCATTTATAGCATGTGTTTGTCACTCTTTCAACACGAAAACAACCGTCGGCATCACGAAAGCTAGGCCTGTGCAAGTCTAGTCATTTCAGTGCAAAGGAGAACCGGTCAGACGAAGAGTTTCTTTGTTTATCAACGACAATGCTGATGAGCCTCAAACTGAAAAAGGGATAACAAATCTTTCAAATGAGAAGTTCTTCGAAAACAACTGAATCTCTGCCAATAACGCTAAAAATGATAATTTCAATAGATGTGTTTACACAGGACTATTTACACTGAATATTAACTGTTATTAATGAATCGTTCAGATTTAAAATGTCACTTACATACCAGTTACTAATTTCAGTAAAATCAAGACACAGAAAGGGACAGTTGACACCACCTTGGCGTACATCCATAAATGTGGCAATCAATCAGAGGCCAAAGAGGCCATGTATGATGACTGATTAAAACTGAAACGTGTTGCGCACAACTTCACGTCCCTACCATCATTTATGCTCACGGAATTTTGTTACATAAGCATCAGGCTGGTAGTCTCCTCTAAACTTCCCTCGCAGTCGGTAAAGCAAGTGTCAATCGTAGAATGGAACTCGAAGTAGAGTTTCTGAATATTGACCAATCAAAAACGAGTGCATGACGGCCATATTGTCTAAACGCAAAATTGAAGTTGTGGTAAAATTTGCAGTGCCGTGATACACCTATAACACAACATATCTTACACTATAATAATTTCAACCAATCAGGAACCAGTAGTGACAATCTGGTCCAATTAAATAATGAGTTCACAGTGTCATAATACACCTACATAACAGATTTGAGCGAAATCAGACAATACTTTAATCCCGATGTATTATTAGCGTAATCAATATTTACATTTACTCAATATAACAATTATATTTATAAATTGATAACTTACTTATGGTAAATCATTCGTAATTTCAAGTTTGGGTGTTTCAAAAAAAGTTTTGCCATTTGGCCCATTCTCTTTGAAACTGGTTTAAGTAGCTTTCTCCCTTACTTCTAGCAATGCATTTTTGAGTTGTATATGTATCTTTTAGTGTATTTTTCAGGGCAATAATGCAGAGTTCATTCTTTAGGTACCTCGTAACTGTAAACAAATGATTGCCTTTTTAATGCAGTGTTTATCGATAACTGTACGTGAGCCGATCGATCTACGGGAGGTAGCTCAAAATTTCCATAACTTCTGGTCGGATACGTTGTTTCTGTATCAAATCGCCTGTTACAATACATGATAACACAGATACTAATTACAGCGTCAACCCACAAGAGAGATAGTATCACCGCGTCGACTTACAATGATAAAATATACTAGTGACACCACACAATGACAAAATATATCAATTTTGCTACGTTGTCTACACACAATGATAAAATTATCAAGAGCCAACCAAAAAGAAACCAAAGAATAATACTACAATACTACAAGAACGAAACTGAAAACTGATGCAACAACACAGGTATTCAACTATGCATTAACACAAAAACCAGTGCTCCATAAAGGTGGTCGACCCATTCAATGGTGCAATATTTAGAAGCTTGATTTTTACAGACGTTCTTTCGAATTGTTCCAATAACAAGGAGAAAACGCAATAGTGCTGCATATCAAAGCATTGATAGTCTGCAAGCAACGACGTCAACAAAAAAACTAACCAATGTAACACCTATATTGAGAAACCCATTAATCGTTGAAGCAAATCAAATCAAATGAAACACGAGTCGCACCCTATGACTATTCCACTCGTTTTGGAATCATCTGTGACATCAACTGACAAAAGGGTGAAAGTGTCTAAAATCTACCGAGATGCCCCGAAAGGCGGACAGCGCTTATTTAACGCTAATAAAACGGTTTTTGCTGCAACAGATAATTATTTCGAAAATATTAATCAAATCATAAATATGCCATACGGGTCGTGAACAATTATCGTCACAAAATCTTTTACGTCACTTTGAGTGACCAAGTTATTTATAAACATTTAATTTAGAAAGTGGCTGAGTTGAAAAAACACAGGATAATCCCAAAAAACATTTTGTAATATAGAAATCCAATATCGTAAAGGCTAGTAGTTTAAATATATACGTCAATCTGAATATATGTGATGTATATATTGTACGTTTCAAGTATTCAGTGAATTTTTAAACAAATTCCGGTAATTTTTTACAGGCAACTGCCACCAATACCGAGATTAACCGCGTTCAAGTCTTTCAACAAATGTATTGTCCGTCCTACCATTTCTAAGTCTCGGAAACTCATCGAACATCAGAAAGTAGGAAGGTGTACTGCCCAACACATTATCTCCGAGGATAGCTCGACATTTCTGGTCAAGTTCATAATCTGATGTAGTCACACCTTCATCCAGTATGTAGCAGGCGCACACTTCCTCGAAGAGTCGGTCGTCCGGTACCGAGATCACTACGACCTCCCTTACACACGGGAGTTTATACATCGCTACTTCTACCACGCTGGTCAAAACGTTCAAGCTGCCACGTTTAATAACATCATTAGATTTCCCTTTAACAAATAGCTTGCCGTCGGTGGTAATGTTTCCGATGTCTCCGATTCGAAACCAGCCACCTTCCGCAAATGAGGCTGCGTTCAACTCAGGAGAACTCCTGTAAGATTTCAATATTCATGGTGACTTCACACAGATTTCACCCAACTGACCACGATTCAGTGTTTCACCATTACCTCCGATAACTTTGACTTCACATCCTTGAAACAGCGATCCTACGTGTCCTTACTCCATTTCCGTGGTAAGTTCAATATAACTCACTCCTCCAACTTCGGTAGAACCATACCCCATAAAGAACTTCTCTGTACATGTACCACATATTTTAATGAGGTGAGATCCGATATGCTATCCACCGGTACCAATGGCGTACAAAACGTAGCCATGTTTAAGGATAACGTCAAGATTGTCAATGATCTCGAGCAACCTATTTGGGAATAAGAAGGCGTTTGTGCACTTCTCAGACATGATCATATCCCATATAACCATGATATTTTCTTTTTTCATGCTTATTGCGGTGTCAACAAACACTCGCTTATTTCCATTTAGGATACTGAATATCGAACTGCACGCCATCCAGGTAAACGGCCGGTCGTTGTAGCAAGTATCGTATGGCCTATCTCTCCTTCATTTGCAACACGTCAGGTATTGACTTGTACCGGATATAGGCAGTGTTTGGACATGAAATGTAGCTCAGGTCCGCCATTGTGAAATTACGTCTCTGTTTGTTACTTTCTGGAATTAAAATTGTCACTGATAAAGTAAAAAGGGAATAACAATCTTCAGAACTTGATACTGATTTCTCAATACGTCTCATTAAGGTAAAATCAAGATTATTTGAAGAAAAATCGTGGAGTGTTTAAATTATATATTCATTGTGATACATTTGTATGTCTATACAATACAATAGCAGTAATTATCAAATTGCAATTTCGGGTTTTCTAGCGAGAACAATTTTCTCATCGCAAGCACCTGGATACAATCGAAAGGATAGCACAGGTGGACCTCAGATTTCACACTTAGTGATAAAGAGTTTTTAATTTATATACTACTATCTTATATAATTCTCCGTTCATAAAAAAACATCAAGCATATACCGCATTGCAATACGACTTATTGGTCTAATGACAATCGTAATTTTCGATCAGTGGGTAACGTAAACTTAAACGTGGAGGAATACCATTGACATGGAAAAGGATATGTAGAAAGATATTTTCAAAACAAATATGTCATCGGCTTCCCCATATGTACATGTACTCTTGACATGGTGTTGTTACTTTTTTACAATTTTATAATGGTTCATTTATGACGAATTATTTTCCTACGTGCAACAATTTTGACTTAGTTATATTTAAAAGTCCTTGTTTTTTCATTGGTAACAATTTGAAGCTTCGCTTTACACTAATTATAGTTTACCATCCCTTGAGCAACCGGGGTCAGAAGGTTTAATATTTTCTGCAATTCATACAAAACTCGTGAAGGTCGCCAACAATCATACACAGCGGATGAATCTTAATTATAGATTGTGTGTGAAATGTGAGAAATTGAAATACAGAACATTTTAACATCATTAAAAGATGTCTGTAAGTGGTCTTCAGTTATCGAAAGTAACCGGAAAACTCACGGACAACTCGCACGGTCGGGCAGGTGACCCCATACCTTTTTACGTGCGATCGTGGATTCAAACCAAAGCTACCCTCTGAGTGCGTTAACCACTGTTTACCAGTGGACCACCCTCTAGAGTTTAGATAACACGGATAACCTTCATACATGTGCTCTTTACGATAACTAGGTTATCTACCTTTGAATACTCTTCATTTGCACATGCGCATTCATACGAAATTTACTTCCGGGGACTACTTTCGATTTGACATTAAAGCGAATAAGAACAACATCCCTAACACTATGGAGAATTTGACGAAGAAAGTTATTAAACCGAGGAAGAAAACGCCTAAATAGTGTTGTATATGAAACGGAGTCCACCGTGGTAAAGCTGTTGACAACAGAACGATTTCGTTACATCGATTTCCTCAAAATACAAGACTGAAACGTGCTTGGATTAAGCGTTGTAAGACTGTCATGAGGACGTTTAAATAGAAGAAACACAAACGTTTGTGTAGTGAACATTTTATTGGTTTCGGAGGTCCAACAATGCAGTATACCCTTCCGTCTCTTTTCCCAACTGAGAGTGGATTGACGAAGGAATTTCCAACATGGGTATGTTCAGAAAAATATCCACACAGTCACTCTATAAATCAAACAAAAAAACACAATTCAATTCAATTCAATTTTATTAGGCAAATTCAGCATGTACACGCCTCTGCCGTCTGGCCAATATACATTTTAACAGTGAACAAATATGGCAAAACAAACAAGAAAACATACAAACAATATTTACGTACAAACATTTTGATAAGACTGATACTTCATGTTATGATTATTATATTACAACCTGGTATAATGTTACTGGCAGTATATCATGATGTAATAATGGCATTCTGTATTTTGTCATTACGAAGAATAAATGCATTTCGTAAATACTTTGCAATTTTAAATATCATTTTGTTCTGCAAGTGGGAAAGGGTTCAGAAAAGTCATCCCTAACGAAATGAAATATATGTATTACTTGGTAGAACTTAAATCTCTACAAGCTACAAAACGCTACTCTTATCCATCAGGATAATAGAGGTTTTTGCTATGAATAGAACTTAGATCACTCTGTTTATTCTCCTTTAGAAACTGGCTGAAAACCAAAATGATATTTGCGAAAGAGCTGAAAACCTCATGGACATAGATGACAATCATGAGAATGTAGTGTGGTAGAACCAGCACATCTAAGTGTTCCCTATGAATGCCATTCAGTCGACATATCACTCCATCTTCACGATTATTGCCACGCACAAGTATCCGCTACAAATATTTACCCCATAGCAGGTATGCCATAAGTTAACAAGTGGGATGGGACAGTTTATGTTGAAGTTTAAATTATATCAATACATCAATTATAATGAAATTATGGTGATTAATTGAGTCGGGATTATATATATACGACAATGCAGGAAAATCAACCACAGGGCTTCGAATATAAAACCAGTTCACCATGCGTTTCTGCACAGTCTGATCTGGAAATACATTGTTTGTTTAGGAGATTACCCTTTCCTTCATATAGACGCTTTGTGACACCACTGCAGCAGACGACTTTTTGAAAACATGGCGACAAAAGAAGAAATTGCTCAAAAGACGCAATGTCTCCTTTCGTGAAATTCGTCACCATGTTTTCAACTCGATTCAATTATTGTATTTTCATTTTTTAAATAGGAAGTTTCCAAAGTCGTCTGCTGCAGATTTGCTGTATGTAGGAAAGGGTTAACTGTTAACTCTTTTTCAAAGTATAACAAGTATTTTAAAAGAGAAATTACTCCTAATGAGAAATCCTTTTTTTGTCACAATGTTTTCATCTCTATTCAATAATCAATCATATATCAATCATAAGTTGATTTAAAGATATGTCCATGTTTTCCTACATGAATTCAAATTCGTCTGCTTCAGATTTGTTGTATGTTGAGTACAAATGATTATTTCAGACTCTAATTAACCCTTTCCCTTATACAACTATTATAAAGCAGACGACTTTGAACATATTTTATCAAATAATGGAAAATCTCTATAATTGAATGGATAACCTTTGACTAAAAGTGGCAAAAGGAGAAATTGCTTATTTTGAGCAATTTCTTCTTTTGTCACTAGGTATTCAAAAAGCTGTCTGCTGCAGCCGAGGGAAAGGGTTAATACATGATATGCGTGCCGTTCCAATTTAATTTATTTTTTAGGGCCATTGACACCCAAACAGAGCGTGATGCAGAAATCACAGAAGTACAGACAGATCTTCGTTACGATTATAAAACTGTTGATTCCACTTCACAAACTGAGACGTTGACCAAAGACTTTGGTGTACAGTGCAATCGCCAGTTCTGACATTTGATGACATTAAACATAGTGATGACATGATCAGTTTCTACACTGGAATTCCTAATAGGGTGGTGTTTGAGTCACTTTTTGATGAAATCAAGGAAGAAGCTGAAGTCAGAACATCAAGACGCAAATGCAATTAGTCTCTCATCTGGAGGAAGACCTCGATCTCTTAGTGTTTTGAATGAATTTATGGTATTAATGCGTCTACGTCTGGGCCTCCTTGAAGATCTAAGTTTCAGATTTTGTATCTCAACATCACAGTGTAGTAACATTATTGAAAGATGGGTGAATTATTTAGTGGTTCAGTTATCATTCCTTGTTGAGTGGACACCAATGGAGATAATTAAAGCAAATATGCCAACATGTTTCAAAGAGAAATTCCCAAATACACGAATAATTGTTGACTGCACTGAACTGTTTAGTGAAAGCTCAAATTCACTCTCGTTAAAAAGTTTGATGTACAGTGATTATAAATCACATATGACATATAAAGCGCTTGTCGGCATAAGTCCTAATGGTATTGAGACATTTGTATCAGATTGTTGGGTCGGAAGTACGAGTGACAAAAAAATACTCTAAAAAGCGGGTTATTGGATCTTATGGAAGAGGGAGATGCCATAATGGCTGATAAAGGCTTCACTATATCAGACTTAACATCTGTCAAAGCTGTAGGGTTGATAATTCCCCCATTCAAAACGAAAGGTAAACAGTTCACTAAGCGTGAGGTGTACCTAACTAAAGAAATTGCCTCCCTAAGAATCCATGTTGAAAGACAGATGGAAAGGATAAAAAACTTTAGAATTTTGCAAGGTAATATCCAAATTACTCAAGGTAGACACATTTCAAAATTGTTTAAAATATGTACATACTTAACAAACTTGTGGCCCCCCACTTATACAAGATCACTGAAATTGAAGCCTCATTGAGTACATGCAACACAGGGTTTCTTCTTGAAAAAAGGAAATCAGACCAGCTTTGGCTCATTATGAGTATTTTTCACTTATATGTGTATACATACATTTAAATTGTTACTAACTGTAAATAATTATGCTTTCAATATTTTATTTTTATTTTTTTGTGTCTATCAGAATTCACGTATGGTAAAAGGGGTGGAAATTATTTTTTAGACAAAGCAGAAAACATTTCGTTGCAAGTAATAGCTTTAACCCAATTACAACAAATCTGCAGCAGATGACTTTGAAACATTTTGGCAAGAACTTGGAAATCTGTAAATATTGAAAAGAGTTTAAAACACTGGCTGGCAATAGGAGAAATTGCTCATTTAGTCATTATGAACAATTTCTTCCTTCTGCCACAATGTTTTCCTAAGTGATCTGCTGCCGATGTGTCAACTGGTGGCAAAGGGTTTAGTTATACTTTCAAAGGTGAAGTCATGTTAGTGGCACATTTTGATGAGTCATTGATGCGTCTGCAACATACAATTATTGATAACATTAAGGAAAAAGAGGAACTTGTTCATAATGAGCAATTTCACCTTTTACAACAATGTTATTCAAATCAACAATTCTTTTATCATTATAACACCCTACTGCTGCAGATATGTTGAATGTATTTTTCATCTCTTTTCCACCTACAGACGCATTTTAACCAGATTTTAGCAATTTTTGTCTAGATGTTTTCAAACTCGACTGCTTCAGAATTATTGTATGTGGGAAAGAATTAAACATGTTTTAAAATTAAAGTTTTACATGGTTAATTAGTGTAATAAAGCTATGTCTGAACCCATATGCAGCTAATGATTTGGGAAATGTGTAGGCTTTGTGTACTTTGTGACTAAATGAGGAATTGCTCTGAAGATAATTTTATCTTTTTGCCACAATATTTTCAAAAATCTGCTGCCTGTGGCATTTGTAAATTTGACTTTTGCACAATAAAGTTATAAGTTTAATTTTTATTTTCTAAGACTATGTGCATTTTTTTTCTTCAAAAGAACAGCTTCATTCCTCGCTGGACACGTCTTGGGGATACGTCTTGAGTACAACTCTGGAATGAATGACTCTACAAAAAAAATATCAAGTTTATAACACATGTTCAACCAGAACGACTCAGAGTATTTAACCCGCTGGATGCTTATCCCAACACATGTCCACACAACAAAGTCACACCACTTTCTTCCAGTAATTCCCATCTGACCTTGTACCTGATAAAAGTATCTACTGCTTTCCTTAAGTTGCACATTTCCATTAACAATATGGCAAAAAAAGTCTTTGTCCTGGCAACATTGTTCTGGTGTCTGCATGCGCCATACCTTAGACGCAGGGCACTTTACCTCCAACAGACCTAAACTGTCTTCACAATGAGAACAAAACACTAGCCTATCTGGACTGGTTCCAAGATGTGGCTTTTGTTCACATACAACCAGACCACATTCCTTCAATGTTATTCCTTTATGGTCTTTCTTCATAGCTTTCAGGTAGACTTTATTCGCAACTTTTTAATGTTTCCTCCCATACTCGGTATACTGACTCTGAAAAGTGCTATACAACATTTGTTTAACAAGTCCATCTGGAGGGGTGCTGTCCTTCCTCCGACAGATACTTCCGAAGTTGGAGGATGTTAACCGCTCCTTCCTTGCTTCTTGCCACTGACTACTATTCTGTCCCCTAGTTAAAATCTCTGTCAGTTTCACAGCCTCAGCAGTCTGACATAGTTTCTTAAAATGGTCCCTGAAAAACTTTCTGACAGAAATCACTTTTCAAATTGACAGAATCATTGAAATTGAATGCCACATAACTAAGGGAAGGCATGTCCGGTTCATCAACTTTCTCAGTAGCAAAGTTCTTCAGCCAGCCAACATTCAACTTTGCACTTATAAGCCTTTCTCTGAACCTCTCTGTATTCACCGTACATCCATTAACTTGGTTCAGATGTTGATCTTTATCCACAGAAAACTTCCGACTGGATACACTGAACGCCCTTTTCTTACTGAAGACTAAATCATCAGATGTCCGTGGAGTTAGTCGTCGCTTCCGTGGTGCTGACAGCATACTACAATTACTCCAGGTACAGGGTTTTGAAGTCGGAGCCAATTTTCTTTTCTGGTTTATATCTGCCAGACCATACAGAAGGGCACAAATATGGTTACAGCATTCACCTTCTCTGAAAACAAATTTGAAGCTAATGTAGATATTCACATTTTAATTAACCCTTTCCGACATACAGACGCTTTCTGATGCCTTTGCATTAACCATTCATGTTCGAAATCGTCTGCTGCAGATGTGTTGTGTATAGTAAAGGGTTAAAATTTGACATTATGATATCATAATCATTCTTTTTAACCCTTTCCTTCATCTAGACGCATTTTGGCGCATTTCGGCGTGCTCCAGTCGCAACTTTTGAAAACATGGTAACAAATTGAGGAATCGCTAGTAATGAGCAATTTCACCTTTTGATACAATGTTTTCAATTCTATGCATTATTATACTTTCATAATAAAGAGATTTTCCATATTTTAATCTTGATACTTTTAAAATATATGCTGCAGGGTAACGGGTCAACTCGGCCTTTTACCAACTCGCCCCCTGAGTCAACTCGGCCTTGGGTTAACTCGGCCTGTTCTGCATTTTAAAGTACAATGCAAGATTACTTTATCAAAACTTATCAAAGAAATTCGGTATTATATTACACAATTTTAAAGGATTGTAATTTTGTTGTAATTTTACCATTTGACATGAAAATTGAGTGAAAAGGGAAAAAGAAAAGGAATACATGCTTATCATTGTTTAATTTAGAAAAATATGAATGGTAGAATAATTAATGCTGCAGATGTATGTGATAAAGGTTTAACCGATTCCCATATACACTGTCACAGATTGTTCAGTTTTTAGTTTTCCCTTTAGCTTTCGCCTTTGAGGAAGGAAATGGTTAAATATTATTTCAAGCTTTGAAGATATTTTGAATCATCTGCAGCAAACAGCATAAGAAAAGATTCAATTGCAATCCAGTCATGGTGAGTTTGATCCTGGTATAGGCCATTGATTTTTTCAAATGACTGACAAAATTCATTTATAGTTGTGAATATTTATCATAATTTGTATGCGTTATGTCTCCACCACTTGCTTTTTAAAAAAAATAGCCAGTAACTGTTGTCGGAGTCTCTGTCTAAAGACGAAAATGTCTGTATCTATCATTTGATCTAATTTTGTTCAACAATATTTAAAACAAAACCTACC